CACACACACACACACACACACACACACACACAGACACAACCATGGACCTCACAGCTCGTGAGCAGAAGTAGGAGTAAGGAAGGAGTAAGGAGTAGGAGCAACTGTGGTAGTATTAGTTGGGGGAAAGGTGGGAGGGGGGGCATTTCAGGTCTCTCGTCGTCTAACAACTATGAGAAGACCTGAAATGAGGAGATGGAAGAGAAAAGGGACCTGCTATGCTCGTCAGCACCGCTCCCTCCTCCCTCCCTTCCTTCCTTCAGAGCGCATAAATGAACTGACGGTATTACTATAAGCGCGCGCCTTCTTTGACCAGTTTTTACGCCATCTGCTCACCTCTGCTCTCCTAATACATCACACTATGCCAGGTCATCCTCTATCATAGACCTGCAACTGCTTATCTACTGACCGACTTCCATCAATCCTTCCTCTCCCACTCCTCCTCCTCTCCCTCCACTTTCACCTCCACCTCCACCTCAATCTTCACTTTCACCTTTATTCATCGCTTACAAAATTATATACCAATTTACTGCATTATTACTCATCATCATCATCATCATACCATCACAAATTAGTAACATATTATTTCTAATCTAATAAATTATATTTAAACAATTTTTAAACTAAATAAATATTCAATCAAGTATCGTTGTATTTTTTTTTTTTTTGATCACAAAAATTTCATTATTATTTGAAATTTGAAAATTTTTTCTAGCAACGATATAAGTACTATAGAGCATGTGAAACTATTTAATGAAAATAATAAATTGAAATGATCAAATAACACATATATCAGAACAATCTTCTTTCCAGTTATTTTAAAAGATTGATATTCTCATGAGAATGCAATAAGTTTGAAATTTTTCAAATGGGAAACTATACTTGAAGAAAATTGAAGATTATCTTAAGTAACTGTAATGATATTCCTGTTAAATAAGGCTAATTTTCTACCAGTTTTTCTTTTTTTTTTTTTATATCGAAAACAAACTCGTTCACGATCATTGAATTGACAGAATTCAACATCAAATATTAACTATCTTCTTGACAGTCAAGTAATTGACCTTACGTGTACAGATAATGTGATCCTTATCGTTATCCCCTACCACATATCACCACTATCATTCCATCACATCATATCAAGATTTAGCTATTTATTCTATCCAACCTATTCCTTTCAAATTCCTCAACATTTAAACCTGTTCTATTGAACGAAACAATCAAAGAATACATCATCTTACCCATGCACCCTTTAATTTAAAGTAAAAATCCGATCTGAATCCCATTCCCTGAAATTATTTTTCAAACTGATGAAACAATTCTATCAAAATTATCTGCAACCAATAAAACATCAACTAACTATGCTACATAAATACTTCAAACACGTTTTCATCACATTCATTCACCATTTCTAGCATCAATCATTCAACTCAACGTTCACAAACAATTGAACCAACAAATCCAAAAAACGAAACCAATAAATCCAAAAAAAATTTAGTACACGAACAGGAACACCTGTACATGTTGACTTCCCGGAACATTATTAAAAATGAACAGAATGGTTTATGGATCATTTAGTCATTTCCACCCTCCCTTTATTAAAATTATTACTGTTTCTGAAACAGCCAAGATTACTATTAGATTGCTACCAGAAGAAATGCACAAGAAATCTTGAAACTCACTGTAACAAACTGTATGAGTAAAACAAAAATGAAGAAATGATGAAATGAAAAGTAATGAAGGACTTGAAATGCAGATATTTATCTTCGTTTGGAAAAGGCGCAAAAAGAAGATCAGTTTTATTCAGGTAATTTTTGAGCAATAAAATACAGGTCGAACTGAAAAAAATACAACCAATAAAATTTCCATTACAATACACAGCTTATGAAATTCAGGTGCCTAATATACAAATGATAAAATCAAGGCATATAATGAAAACTGATCAAATGGAACTAGCTGACACTCCAAAATTCCTAAATATTTAAATCAAATGGTAACATTGGCGAACTCATAAAGTATCAAACATAAAATGCAAATATCAAGGAATCATACAAATGATGGAATGTATGTCATTGGCATAAAAATTGGAGAATTGAAAACAGTAGAGTTTAACATATACGCAGTAATCACAAGCAGTGATGAACATCAATATCGGAATAACACCGTAATCAAGAGAATTTTATTTGTAATGAAGTAAAATGAGACCAGTCGCATACGAGGAGTGCCTAAAATATACGGACTAACAAACACTGTAGGCCAACACATAGTGTTAAATTCAGTGACAGACAAGACAGATCATTCTCACAAATACAAAGCACTATATTATCAAAATACAGTACTAACAATAACTATGCGCAAAACAAAGTCTGATTTACAACAACCAGCTGAATTTTATTCACCGATGAAAGACAATATACAAAACAAGATAGTGAACAAAATAACCAATACTTATTTCCAAATACAATCTCTACTTTACATTTTACCCTCTTCATAAAATTTGAAAATTTGTAATTACTGAAATTCTTAGAATTTTAAAATTATAGAGAAATTGCTATCCAACTTTGGTGAATAATTAAATAATATCATTGAATGCCACTGGAAACAGAACAGACTTTACTCAATTGACATGTTTTTATTTGAAGAGAGCAGACGGATCAGAGGATAAAATCAGCTTTCTAACTTAACAGAAAAACATTTTACAGGGCGTTCAAATGTTAAGGAAAGACAAGCACATATAGATGTGCTGTTATAATGATACATGAAAATTCTAATTCAAGGAGCAAATTCGTAGGATGATGAGGTCAACAATAAAGATATAAAGCTACAATCAACCAAACCTTCACAGTTAATACGAAGATTAAGAAAATTATAACGAAACGAAACAAAAGTGAGCTAAATACAGTAAACAAATGATAAATGAAATTAAATAACCTTCTGAATTTTATAATAATTCCACTTTTTTAAGTTATAAATTCAATTCATACCATCATTTAAAGTTGATTACGTTTTCGTCTTTTCGATATCATATTTGCCTTGTTGAAATTAATTCCCAATAGTTATGTATTTGGCTATTTCCAGTTAACTGAATATCTATTTTTTTCAATAATTATCTTTTATTTTTCATTTCTTGTGAACCGAAATTTGGAAAAGAACAAACTAAATCTCAAAATTAACAAGTTTCAAAGGGTCAAAATATTCAAAGATGTAAAGTGAATTTAATTTCCTAAACATTTCCTTTGCTGTATTTATATAAATTATAAAATTTGTATAGATACAATGGACAGAATGTTTGACCAAGATGACTTGAAATCCGATTTCTTAAGTTATAAAATTAGAGAAAATAAGAATTCAATAATCATCATAGTGAAAAAATAACAACTCATGAAGCTCTTTCCAGAAAATCATAAACCATTCTAACGGACTGACTGTACCAAACGCGATTTTTTTGTTGCCGACTTTAGTTTAGCGCTTTTGTCGACTTTAAAACACCACCACAGACGGAGACTTTCGTCGCTAGATGCACTCATAACGTACTGTCCACATGGCGAAATCGTCATACCCAAAATGCGTTCAGTATGTCCAGTCAGTACCTTAATAATCTTCACGGTTAAAAAAACCAAAACTTATTACACAGCAGCAAAACATTCGTGTACAATATTTTTTTTTTTTGAATTTTATGTTTAGTTTCATACTCCACTTTTGATTTATAAGCTAGCAATTCATCGCTTGAAATAGGCTCAATCAAAAAACAAAAATCACAAAAAATTATTGAAATATAAACAATCACTTAAGGTCCAATACCTTAAGACAATTCATCGATGGATACTTCCATATTTTCAAATCATTTCCAGGATATCCATGACCACTAATTAACTCCTTATAATTCGGTGTAAATGCCAGGGCATTTACCTGAAAATATTTGATACGCACGAAATTAATAGATCTTTACACCAGGTTTATATGCGCCAAAGTTATAGACACCTGACTGTCAGTATCTTGACTGTGACTCAGTGTCCCACTGGCAAGATTCCAAAATTTAATCGTCCGATCAACGGTACCACCACCAGTTGCTAATGAATGTGCTTGATGAGGATTAAATGCAATCGCTTTCACTGATGCAAGATGATCGCTGAAATTGTACAGTGGTTCCTGAAAAAATCCTAATGAAAGTTTCTGAATGTTAGATATGACCCTTTAAAAAACGTATGATTTCCACGTAACAATAAATCAGCTGAATTGGATGTAGTATCGATATCGTATCGAGAAGAGATACTACTAGAAGAGAAATATGTAGTCACATTTGAATATCGGCTTTTTCAATCCGCTCTTAAAGTTGCCCGTTTTTAATACGAACCAATCGAATAACCTATTTTCAAAAATTATTAATTTGATAAGTTATCAAATGAAAAATGAACATTGCGAAGATTAAACAACTGAAAATCGCACCGGATCCTCAACTGTCAACATTGAAGGCTCCCAAATTTTAACCATATTATCACCTCCACCGCTAGCAAGATAGTGACCGTCACTACTCCACACAAGGCCACAAACTTCCTGTCCATGTCCCGGAAATGTTCTGTAATTTGATTTCACGTTTAACCGTCATTACACGTCTGTTCTAAGCGTGTTTTAATAGTCTAATACAAACAAGGTTAAACAAGATAATTGAATCTTCGTTACGAATAAAAAATTTCCCACAAATCAATATCCAACTACGAATTAACTACGACTGCAAACAATTCTTCTGAACTAAGCTCACAACGCTGGTTACTCTACGATTCATTTTCATTAAACAAAGAGTGAGAAAGCGGTTTAGGAAAATTTTGTTTATAAGCGATCATCAGCTTGAAAACTTCGTAATCATTCAACGCACGTTTGCCCATTACTGCGGCATATCAAAATTTGGTTTGTACATAAAAAATACACAGACGCGCATAACAACAATGAAGAAAATATTCGCACTACTTTGTATCGTCTAATTTATCTTTTACACTAATCGACTTATCGTAATGCATTAATTTCTGTACAAACCAAGTAATAAGTACAAATCACTTAGACACTTATCATAAGATATGGCAGTAATACGTCACGTTGTCAAACCTTTTACTTGGTCATCACTTGATCGCAAAGAAAAAATCCCATAATTTATAATTCATAAAAATTATTCACTGACATTTCTTAATGTAAAGTTAAGTGAACTTAAAACTTCCACTGTTTCGTTATTAATTGCTGTAAGCAATTCCCTGCATTCAATACACAGTTCTCGAAATTATATGTCAGATGCACATAGGCATTCTTTGAAATTAAAACAGCAATTACAATTCGTACGTGAAACACAATATATACATAGAACCATTTGGAAGAAAATTTTTATCATTACCAGTGAAATGAAAAAAACCAAACGAACCCAATTTGGAAATCCCGAACACGAACATCGTGATGATATATTCGTCCTGATCTGCATCCACTGAAAAAAAGAAGCTCCTTCCATAAAACTAAATTAAAAATTTTTGATTTAAGAGGAACATAAAAAAGTCGGAAAGGTTGGCTCCAAAAAAATAAGATAATCATTTTTTAGGAAATAAAACTACGTACAGTCAAATTCTAATATAAGGAGATAAATGAACTTCTATCCAAGATTAGAATGGCCGCCCATTACAAATGACTCTCACAAATCCTTTTCCCTTGAAACTTTTTCGAAAAGCCACTTAGAACTCACCAAAAAAAATGACAAAACTCACGCAGAAAGTACATGTTGACGCCAAGATAAGCATCCTACACGACTTATTTGACACTGCATTGTTCGTAGCAAAGAATTTTCTCGTGTAGGGTCAAATAACTGAAACATTTTTCTCAGACTGGCAACTTCTCCAATCCGTATTTTTGATAGAGTCACATTTTACAATACCTTATTCCATAGTGTAGATCAAAATAATCACCAAATATTTTAACATGTGACGACTAAAATATAAAGTAATTGCAAAAACTAAACAATACTGATTTCCATCAAGCGAGAATCAGTATCATTAACTAGTTTTTTCGAACTTATATATCCTCCAAGACACTAAATAAAAAGAAATGATTTAAAATATTAATCTTTTTATTTAAATAAACCTTAACATATCCATTTGAAAGCCCAACTGCCAAAATCGAGCTCTGTTCTGCCCACTGAACTGATGTGATATAATTTCCAGATTCTTCTGGTAATTCAAAGAGTGTCTATAAATAAAAGTGGTACATTTGAAATCAATCTTTCCACGAGGTAAATCTCAAAGAAAGATGAACAATCAGTAAAACACTATTTCAAGGTGAGTACTAAACAAACACGTATACGAATATATATTTACATAAATAGACCACAAATGCAAGCAACAAGCATAGTGTCCAATCGCCCACGGTGGTGCCAAAAATCACGTAGTATCTTATCACTTATCACCAGCTTTGAACACTGGCTAACAATTCTGTATTCGAATAAGACTAGGAATTCCTTTATAAAGTTAATGAAATTTAAATACGATAAACTTACAATAATCTCGCCAGTAGAAGCATTCCACAAATATAGAGCATAAGTTAAAGCGACAGCAATAATATTATCATAGCTCCAATGAATCACATTCATATCTAAAAATCACGATATTTATAATAAAAACTGAACTGATCAACTGATAACAACTATTACTGCTACGTATAAAATATTTTTCGACATTCTCTTCCTCACTCAAAAATAATCGCTAAAGTATTGAAATCAATAATTCTGCTTCTCCGATTTACGTAAGTAAAAATACAATCAACATAAAACTCGTGGGGTTGCATCACAATTAAGCCTAAAATTCAACTGAATGCTAACTGGCATCCAAAACAATTTTTTATAAGCTAATAACAAGAATCCTGCGCTATTTTTTTTGCATTCCCAGAAATGGGAAGAGATTTTCCAAAGAAGCACCGAAAAAATAAGAGCTACAGAAAAATATGTGAATAATCTATTCTTTAAAGAACAACACTATCAATAAAAAAACATGGAAATTGAGTCCAGTTAATACTGAAACATACAGTAATCATCCATAAAATTTGGTGCATCCAGGATGCGTTCAGGGCTATTAGTTATATAGCGTAATCCCTTGCCAACACTTCCAGATGGCCTCAGAGTGCTTGATGTGTAAAGTACTTTTGATTGATTCACGTAACCCAACGGTGGCAGTGGTGCTTGACCCTTTTTGTAACACAGAATTCTTTCATCATTGCTAGTATCCACGTCGTTTGCTGATTTAGCTAAAAGTATGCAAATGAACAATTAATTAAGACATAGATAAGATAAGAAAGCTTCAAAATAGAAATTAGTATCACTACATTAAGCTGTTGCATTTCAAACCAAATAACAATTGTCTTGAAAAAAGAAACGACCATCTACCAACAAATTTTAAAAAATGTTTTGAACTAAAAAGTCAACCAAACACACCGCGCATCATCTTTATCATATAAGCCTTTTCAGCTTTTGATGGGCTGGTTGGTGCAGACAATGACATATTTAAAAGTGAATCACTCTGCAATAAATAAAAGATAAGTTAACTGCAGCGAAATAAAACAAAACTATCTAACCAAAAATCAAAATATGACAGCAGCTCAATTTACCACCGCCAAAATAGGTCATGCATCATGAACTTCTACTCTCCATTAAACATTATAAATAGCCTATTATTGTTGTCAGGTATAAGTATAAAACATTCCTCTTGCCTCTTGGCTAGAACAACAAAGATTCTTCAAATCAGAATAAGTCTCCAATAAAACCAACAAGACTGCTTTATTTTAGATCATCAACCGACTCTCGTACTGATCAGAGATGCAGAATGGAAATTTTTATGAAGAGCTTAATACAATCGAAGATTGAAGTAAGGATCTAACAAGTCATTAAAAGTTATCAAAAAAAGCACAATCAACACATTAAACAGTTGAAACAAACCTCAGAGTTATGACTAACAAGGCAATGATTCGCAAATTCAAACTGTGTTTCACTTCGATTCGGTATAAACCGATCACCACCACCAACACCGCTATAATTTGGATTTCTGGATGGTGTAAGCTCACGCTTCTTTAAGCCACCTTTTGATTTGTTAAATGAAACACTTGAATTATGACTTGGAGTTTTCAGCGATATCGAACGATTTTCTCTGAAAGCGAGACAATAGAATTTAAGTTTTGATATCATATTTTATAGAATTTATAATACTACAAAATTTTATTCCGACTTAGTGAACATATGATCTCTGATTCAAAGCACCTGGTTAAATTAGTTTCTCAAACGCAAAAAATAATAGTTCTATACTTTGATAATCGACATTATAGCACCTTTTTCAGGAAGCTTAAATATGGTCTTCAATTCAGATCCAGTAGGATAATTATTTGAGGTCACGCTGCATGAAACTAATGCAGATTCTTAATGATTTCTAACAAATCATTATCTGTTCATTTCATATCCGTTAAAACCAATCAACTAAAGAAAGAAGTAAATGACTTACTTCTTGACACTTTTTGGAGTTTTACTGTTATTTGTTCGTGAATTATCATTTTGGTGACGACATGGTGTCTTGTTAGTCGAATCGTTAAATATCATTTTGTTATGAAGATCAGTAGATTGCCTACAATATGTTAGTAAATCCCCTGAAAACAGTAACAATTTATCACGCTGTAATCATAATCATTTATGAAATTCTACACTAACATTCCTGAATTCAAAAATACCTAATCTTCGAATGAGTCAATTCTAACCATACAATCCCAAAAACCGTGAATATGTACCTTTGCTGTACATTTGAATAGTCATAATTTCACCGATTTCCTACAATTCAACCTTAGCAATGAAAATATAATCGTAAATTCAATGGTAAATTTAGTTATGGTATCTGCATCAACAGATAGGACTAAAATATTACTCATATTTCGATTGATTATTTAGCATCATACACTTTTGCATCAAAGAATTAAATAAGTAATTTTGCTTCTGACAAACAAAAATCAAGAGCTGATCAACTAATAAAAAGTTTTATTTCTACCAACAACAAGCCTAAATGTAGGCAATTGAACCATAAACAGATACCGGCGGCATTTCATGACAGCAACGAATTCAGATATAACATATGCATTCAAGCTAACATATCACGAGCAACAACAACTTGAGTTTATAATGAAGCTAAAGACGAATTGAAGTAGCCATTGAAATCAAGTTCATTAAAATTCATCGTCCAACTAGAATTCTCGGTAATTAAAAATCCAAAGCATAAAAGTACACTCAATTTATTTAACGTTGGTCTATAAATTTCAGCGCAGTTGTACACTCGCTTTTCATTTGTTATTAATCAATCGAACAGTTGAATTGCTCAATCCAGAGTAGTTTGAATACAACAAAAATTCTATGCTCAAACGGAATTGCAAGTTGAATGCTCATTTAAACAGAAATCAAAGTAATGTTGTGATGATGTGGGAGAAGAAGGGATAGAGCTATATGGCTGCTCGATGTAGAAAAGTAGCAAACAAGAAGTTTTAGTCAAGGAATTAGTACACAGAAATCTACCATTACTAAGATAACTTTTTCGCCATTTCCCAAAATTTATCAAAAAAGTAGCAGATTTTTTCTTTAGAAGATTACAAACTCAATTTACACTTAAAAATTATACTAATAATTGTTAATATCACGATCACGGTCACCGGATTAAGTAATATATCTTATACAGCCACTACATTTCAATAAACTACAATAGAGACATCGTTCAATGTAAGGCTTCCAAAATTATTTAACTTAAAGTGCTCAAATATAGACGAATTAAATTCAGCATAACAAATAAAAATTAATTTGTTAAAAAATTTTCTGACCAAACAATTGAGCAAGGCATACGAAATGGATATTGGGACCATCTCAGCATTCCATTTCTATTTCACTGCTCTTACTGCCATTTTCACTATTATTATTATCATCATCATTATCATCACCATCATCACCATCATCATCATCATCATCATCATCGTCATCATCATCACCATCATCATCATCATCATCATCATCATCATCATTTATGTCCTGATTATCTCCGAAATTCGAGTCTCTTCTTCTTTTTCCATTTTCGTCATCTGGAAAAAGCATATCCTTTATCTTCATTAGGTCCAGCTGCCTACTTTAACCATGGTTAAAAAAAATTTTCTTCATATTAATAAAATTTGATCAGTTTCAGAACAAAGAGATATTTACCAGATGATAAGTGATTTTCATCAGATCCAATTTCCTCGTCATCCCACCATTTTTCTACGCTTTCAATACTTTCTTCATCCTTAAAATCATCCATTTCATCTGATGTTTCTGATATGTCACCATCATCTGAAGCAAAGAATTACATGAACTTAGGAGCGGGGTATATTTAACATTGTCTCTGATAAGTAATGATGGATATGATCATGTATCTCAGAATTAGAAGTAGCAGACAGATTTGGCAGTAAGTGCGCAAATAACCAACAACAACAAAAAAAATTGACTTATCCTGTTATAAAGTTTCTGATTTAAAAACTTAAGAAATGGCTTGCACCAGCAGAATACAAATTGAGGACATGAATCATTTCATTTCACTACGGTAATAAATAAAAAAGTAGTGCAAAAGGTTTCAAAAAAAAATTAAATCAGGAACATCAAGCCTTAGTATCTTCAAAAATTCAATGACCTGAACTAACCTTCAAAAGAAATACTCGGTTGCTGAGAAACAAACATATGCGGACACATGCGACGATTAATTTGCTCATTAATCAAAGAAAGTTTTCCGTTAACTTGCAACAGTTCACCCATATTCGATGCCCTTTTACCGAACCAATCAAATAAGGATGATAAATCCTCTTTCAAAGTACCAATCTAAAATTATTTCATTCTTTGAAAATTCATTTGCTTCTTTTTCGTAATATAATCATATTCTAATGATGTGAAGTATACTATATCCTGCTCCAGTAAGAAATACGCCTGTCATTTGTGATAGCTTTTCATACACTCGAAATCGTATACTATAATATCTGAATAATAAAATGAGATCCTATATTCATTATCCCTTATCAAATTTTTTGTGAATCCGAAACTTACGGTGCAGAGATAAGCCATATGCTTAGAGAAAATATACTGCAACCATCGCATCCAACAACTGCTGAAAATCAAATGGAATTTTATGAATACCAAAATTATGAAAGAAAGCACTATAACAAAACGCAAAAGCTACTCTTACCAGAATGAGTTTCAGAAAACTGTGAATGATTTTGTGTTGTTTATTCAAATTTAGTAACCAAAAAACAATTAAACATACTCAAAATGTTTGCGATTTCTGCAACGATATTCAATTTCCTTAAGTAAAGGTATAATTTGTGTGACTGGCAAATCATTCAATGTTGCTAATATCGTTTGCACATCTGCTTTCAACAACACTGCATCGATTTTTTCAGCATCACTGCTCGTCAAACCTTGATTTAGAATCACTGCTAAGCTTTCCCCATTCGTACTTCTCATAGCCAATACCTAAAAAGCACAATAAATTTGGATAGCCATGAAAATAAATTACGGTTCCTGTTATTTCATTTCTTTTAAAAATAATCGGTTAGTTTTTGTCGATAGGCCATCTTAACCCCAAATGAATATGTTTATCAGTGGTTATCAACCAACACCCAATAGAAAATCGAGAAGTTAAATGACAGCACTCCATTGAATGACAGTATGAATATTTCTGGAAGAGATGGAACGAGAGCTAGATTCGCGAACTTTATTCATGAAATTGAATGAACAAATAACAAACTGTGGCGGTCTCCTCCGTGTAATTATTCGATGTGCTCGCTTTTTCATCAACACCAAAATCTTGTAAATTTTCGTTGGCAGAGTTCGCATCATCCATTTTTGAATTTTTATGATCATCACTGAATATGATATGATGTAATTTAAATTTTAAAACCAATACTCAGCTGCTTCTAAAAAGAATGGAAATTGCACTACAAGCACATTTCTGTTGAGCAAGGTTTGGTAATTTTATAATCAGTGTACTACATCGAACCTCACTTCTCTTTAACAACAACACTTCTTTCTCAGATCAAAACAATTACAATGCACAATTTCAGATCAAAGCAGTCATAACACATTGATACAAGTATTTTGGCAGGACTTGAATGAACTGTTATCGAAACAAAACGAAAGCAACATTAACCTTTCATTGGCCGTTTCTCTCCTTTGCTTTAAAGGCATATCTTTTAGACTTGTTTTTTGTGATTTTTTCGATAAAATCATTTCACAATTCTCCTGCAATTATTTTAAATATTTCGGACGATTTTAAGTTTTTAAGTTAATCTGAAAAAAAAACTGTCAAAGATTTGACATGAATAATTCATCGAATTGGTAACATTGGGAACTGTTGAAAAACAACAGATATTTGAAACAGGTCAAAAGAGATAATACCACTTATTACTTAACTGGAACTAGATGAAGTAAATTGCTTACAATCTTCCTACCAAGTATGCTGCGCAACTTGATTAAACTAATGGCATCGCAAAATTCTCCTGAAATATCTGCAGCATCGCTGAGGATGCAACTTAGAATACAGGACAAATCCAAAGTGACATTCCCATAGGGACTCTTATACTATTGGCAGAATCACTCAAATTTATTCCATCTAATTTTTACATCCTAACACTTCAACCCCAAAATGTTAACATTCGGTAAATTTTATAAATTCATCATCAAACAAAATATATTTCGAAATCATTACTCTCGTCGAACTGTCATCAATAACAGTTTCTCCATCTTTGCTGTAATTCGCCATATCATTATCATTCAGTTTGATCTTCTTCTTATTGATTGCACCACCATTACAGTGCGTTGCTTCTTTAGCTCTCGATAAACGACGACTTCGTCTTAACATCTGTCTACACCAATACCTCGCCGGTATTATGCTCACGATCTTAATGTTAAAATTTAGATTCATATTGGAAAATAAAATCACTTCTCCCATTATTCTTTTCATTTTCACTTCTTAATGGAAATGAACACAAACAAGCTATTTAACAAGACTAAAAACATAAAAATATATCTCGTATATTCTTAGCGGATACCAAACGACTTACTGGTAAATTTCAAATACTATCTATTATTAGTAAAATTTATGAGATATGTGTGGCATAATTTTTAAGACTGGAAGATAATATCTCTTTTTTTTAAGACTAGAAGAAGATATTAACAATATTATTCCAGGTTTCAAACCTCCTACAAATGCGTATTTAAGCTAAAATAAGAAAAAATTAGGAATAAATAACTTTTGTTACTCCACTCTACCCGAAACAACGGAACCAGATCAATACCTATTCAAATTATATCAAATACCATCTACCCAAACCCAAATGTAACACACCACCATCCATCCACATCACACACAAACCCAATGCGCGGGCCTATCCTACTTTGAAAGGGCAAACAATTTTACGCTGTATCATTCCTCAAACAATCGCCTTGGAACTACTAAATTTGAAGTGTAAACGAGTCGATATACTTTTAACTTCCGAAGATTCTCTCTTCGAGATATGTGTGGTGTATTTGAGTTAGCAGGATATATTTACAGATATTTATCTTCAATTATTTGAGTATTTCAATCATTTTTTTCATTCAGTCAATTTTCAATCAAGTACTTCAATCAATTATTTGAGTATTCAAGTTTTTACAGATGTTTGAGTTACTTGAGAGTATTTGTATTGCTCAAAGATCCGAGTTATTCGAACCATTTACGCATTCAAGTCGTTCAATTGTTAGGATCACTGAGATGGTTGAATGATTCCAAGTTTTAAAGTTATTAAATCATTAAATTATCAAGTTTAAAAAATTATTCAAACATTCGAATTATCAAAGTAAAGTACTAAGGTTATTTATGTATTTGAGTGGTTTGGTTTTTGAGTATTATTTAGGTGTTTGAATTGTGCATACGAGTTTAAATGAGAATAAAGTAAAGAGATAAAGTAGAGGATAAAGTAAAGAATAAGATCTTTGAGTAATTAAATATAGCAAATATAAGCGTTCTGTAAATCCGTTTTAATGTAAGCATTTCATCTTTGACTTGCAATTTAAACTGATAAGTTTGTAAACGAAATCTTTTTAGTAAATGCACTTGTGCTTTATTGAATTGTAAACAATTTTATATCATTCATCAACGATTTTATTCTTCTTAAGTAAACGTACTGATCGTTCGTCTTTTCTTTTCCGTCTATCTTTCCCTTTCTTTTTCCCGTCATTCCTCCCTTATCACCAATCTTTTTCCTAAAAACTTATATTTTATTCATCGTTTGATATTGACGCATAACACTTTCGAATCATTATAATGCTGTGGCTTACTATATCCAATTATTTCATATACTTTTTTACATCAGTAACTGGTAAAATTTTTCAGTTTTAATCTTGAATTTTAAATATTTAGTTTTAGCAGAAGTATAATTTTTAAACTCGAAATTTCAACAAGAATCCTTGTTTGACTACACCGATCAAAATATATAATCTGCCCGTTAATAAATCAAAGTGAACCATTCTCTTGGGAATGTATCTCACGTTCTAAAATTCTCAGTTGACGTTTTTACGTGCATAAAAAAAGTCAAAAATTGCTTTAAAACGCCTCTTACATTTACTAGCAATTTAAGTTTTTTCTTTTACAGCTCTCAGATGTGTAATTGAAAATGGTATTGTGAGAGAACCTGGAATTGAAAATTGCTCATCATCAGTTATCAACTGTTTCTCGTTCAGATGCGACATTACAGGCAGTAAGTGATTTCAGAAATTCATATGTTTAAATCATATGATATTTATTACACAATAATTTACTGATGATAACAATCCTTATCACCTTCGTGATCAACAGTGACTTCAAGAAAGAATGAAACATTGTGCAGCTTAACAGATAACGTTAAGCATACGTAATATAGCTGGAATGTCTTGAACATAGACCTCTACAGGATGTGAGATACCTGAAATAAGTTCACATTTCATTAACAATCAAAGAAATGAACTGAAAAAGACTAATACTTAAATATATGATTTAATTTGTGCTTATTTTTTTCTGCTTAATGATTAGACCTTTTAGAAGAAAGAAAAGAAAGAGGCTGCAATGACAATTTAAGCAACTTATGGAATTGTCAAGCATTGGGTAAAGCTTGTATGGAAGCTGGTGGAATAGCACACTGTGATATCTGTGTCACAGATTTGTGCAATAATGCAATCGCTAATGCTTTTTCTCTTTCTTTCCTTACCACGACTGTCATATTGTTGCTATTGCTTATGTGAGTGTCACCATATACGTGCAATCATAGGACTTACATATTTCTGTGCTAATATATAGATAGAGAATAATTATTATTTTCAGTATACTGTGATAAATTTCCATCTTAAGATTTTATTGAAAGTTTTTAATATTCAGTAGTTCTAGTGAAATTAATGCATTCAATTTTAGAAATATGAAGTTAAACTTTGCTTTGATCAAATAGGAAGATTTTCTTTTTTTGTCAATATATCCCGTGACTTGTTGTAGCATATTTCGGAGCAGCATTGAAATGTTTTTGGCAGGAAAGTAGAGAGGAGATGATATAATCATGGATACAGCGTTCAATCTAACTTCGATTTTTATCATTTTTTCCGTGACCTAAAGATAAACGATAAAATGTTCATTTCTCTTTTCCATTTTCTCCATCTTATCACACTGAAAAAAAAAGAAATACAATATTTGTGTACTGTTACTTCCAAAATTATTATCGAGAATGATAATATTCCCACGCTATATAATGTTACCACTCCTTGAAAATTGCAAAAACTAAGAATCCCGAAAAATTAAAACTTCATTAAAATTATCTGATTACATCTAGTCAAAAAATTTGGATTGTATAGTCGCTTATATTAACAGGAGTTGCAATTGTTTATAATAATCTTTTCCAACCAAGTTCTATAATAAAAAACAAAATCGAAATGTTGTCATTAATGTTATGTTAAATATTCAAAACATATATTTTATGTACGTCGGATTAAATTCTTTAGAATATGACTAACCGAAATTTTTACATATAAGTGGAAAAAAGAATTCTGATGCAATTAATGCTTTCAATCCTGCCAAATTGATTTACAGAATTTGGAAATGTTGATGAAACTGCCCAAATGTTCACATTTTCGTAGGATTTCATCCCCAAACAGTTGGTAAGTCGTATAAGCGACAGTACGATAATGCAAAATGCAAAATAGTAGGATAATGCAAATTCTAGAAGACTATGATGCAAATGTAAGAATTAGGACTGATTCAAATATTCGTTAAATAACAATGTTACTAAAGATACGGTTAAATATCAAATGAAATTTTGGCAGAAGATCAATTTAATTCATGGATTATTTCATTATTATTTGACTATATTTCGGTTATCCACACGAATGTAAGATGTTGGAAAGGTATAGCGAGAAATATCCTGGAAAATTACAAACAAAGCAAAGACCAAAGTTACCATCAAATGTAACTAATAATTGGAAGAATGATTTGATAGCCCTTAGACTTTTGTTCACATTAAAGCTAACATCCTAATAGCTGACCGCTCTAACTTGTGATTATAACCATTGTAGAAAACGTAGTAGAATAACCGAAATGATTCTCCTCGATAAGAAATAAACAAGCTGCAAATTTCTTAATTAATCAAACTTTTAAATTCTCCTCAATTAATTGTCAATATTGAAATTTGTAGTGAGAAAATAATAGTGAAAAAAATGATGGACCGTGTGTTCGAAGATTTGTAAAAGTAACAGAGTATCATGTTAATTAACAGGACCATTACTAGGTAATATTTTTTCCGTTTATTTCAGTTAAATCATATGATATGCTTTATTCGAATCTTGAAAAATCCAATTTTAGAAATGTTATTGTTTATTTCCAAATGATTTTGTCGATATTTTTCAACTTATAGTTGGTCGGTACTGAGGTATCATAAATAAAACCATCAGTCATTGAACTCGTTTATTATCATGGTCAATATTATTCCTTAATTATCCGTAAAAAGCAAGACTTTACAATTTTATTAAATTTATTATTTGGCAAGATGAAACTGCTCAATTATACTAAAGCAAACCAGTTTCACAATAACAACGATAACAATAACCGGAAAAGTGACGTACAGGTTGCTGTAAGTTAATATTATCATCGAAAAACCATGAACGTACAAACACTTTCATAAATAAAATAACAAAGAATGAAACGGATAAAGCAAACTGACTAGAGAATTTAAAATCCAATTAATAAAGCCAAAAATATGGTGAGAACAATGATTGGCATACGACCTGATTCACAAAAAAAATGAATTCAAATAGTAACAATTGCTTTGCTTCTAATTCTAACCATTAGTGAACGTGATAATTCTATATAGGAGAATATTGCTAACATCTTCATTTAGAAAGTTTAGTTAAATTGAACAAATTAAAGAAGAAAAAATTCTAATCATTGCAATTGAAAATATCATTTAATACATACTGTAACACATTTAACCTATCAACAAAAAACTAATTAATATTTGATTATTTTAAAAGTCTACTATAACTACTAAAAACATAAGTGAAGTATAAAAAGGAAAAGAAATGTCTTCACTGTAAAAAGATATGATGTTATGACTATCATGAAAGTATACAACCTTGAATAATAATTACATAATCGTTAAATGAAAATTAAGGAATTAAAGGCAAGATTAGGGAAAAGATGTTTAATTTAACAGATTAAGCAGAAAAAAAACAATGCTTAACTCGTTTCTCTATGAGTGAAAGTTGATATTTTCACTTCTAACCTATTAATTTTGACGGAATTCAACGTTGTCTATTTTATCAATTCCAAAAGTTGAGCTCACATATATGTATAAGCGATAACTTTAACAAACTGAATCTGTTATTTCGAGATTTGGAATAATTTTAAAAATTACAATGGGCTATTTTCCACAAAGAGTACTTTAATTTGAGGGATAATAGATGTGTATCGAAAAAATGTTTTGAAAATTAAACAAAAAGCACGAAATTATTCAAAATTTAAAATTGTCATTTATGACCTTCAGAAAAAGAAAGATCTAATATTCCTAGAAAAAAATTATCAAATTCCAATTCTTACATAGAAATTTCCACGCTACATCCAGAAGTATGCAAATTAAGGGAAATCTAAGATAATATATTTTTCACGAACTTTGTAAGATGGATAAAGACCACTTTTGCCTGTTCGCGTGTTAGTGCCCTTCGAGAAGCCATTCCAGTGATTACCAGCAATTTTAATAATATCACCAATCTTCAGATCAATTTCATTATCATTCTCAGCATCATACGACTCCACTGCTATTTGTTCGTGAGCTGAAATTTACATTTTTCCAACTTGTTGAGATGTTATGCTCAAAGTGCAATTTTATAACTATCAAAAAATAATGTGCATTAAACGATTAGAAAACCTTAAATACCCATGCATTTATACAAATTAATACATATTAAAACTCTGTCAAATTCTCTCATTAATCTACAAAATCCTCAATGTAAACACTTATTTCCAACTACAGATATAGCTCTGGCTTTTGATATTATGAGAAAATTCACTTTGTTGGCCACCAAAGTAGTAAATATCATCCAAGGAATGAAACTGATCACCTGCATCACCAAAACGTACTTGCATTAACTCATAACTCATACGACAAACCTGCGAACTGAATGTGCAGACAATATGTACACATCTAAAATCCAAGCAATAATAACAAATAAAAAGAAAGATCGTCTTCAATACATAATTTTTTTCAGTTAGATTTTAGTAATGTTATGATTTAAACTAACAAGCCATATGAGTCTAAATCTACTCGTTCAGACTCGTTTGAATCTTGTTTCAATAGATAGATATCAACAGCTGATACTATCACTTACTATTAATCCTCGTTCAAAGATAAGAACAACATAAATTATGCAACCAGTTCCTCCCATTTTATTTTGTTAATCTTAAAATAATATTTTACCCATTCCTCACATATTTCATTTTTTTCTTTCATTTTCTTAGCACGGAATCTAGGAATTTAGGAAACTTAATTGCTATTAATTTATCAAATAGAGAAATAAAAAAATGTACAAAATATACCTTGATAATAATTCAATATCGATTACAATACCAATTAATGATTCTGCCGTATAACGAGCATGAAGTTGAGCCGTATTTGATATTTTTGGATCACCATATATTTCGTAATTTGGATATCTGAAATTTTCATTTCCAAATTAATTTCATTCACCATTGTCCAATCGAAATTAATTTAATTTAACATCTTCCAATTTAGGTCATCCCACTTGAAACAAGAATAATTTGATCTTTTTACTGTACATGTAAATAATATTTTTCATATGTTTATGATTTTCTTTATTAATTTATAAGTCATTTTACTCTTTACTGTTATTCTAACACTAAGAAAAAAAAATAGGGAAAAAAATTGCTAACGTTAGCAGCGAATTCAAGCATAACTTTATATATATATA